ACAGATAGGCGCCCCTATAGATAGGCGCCCCTAGAGATAGGCGCCTCTAGAGATAGGCGCCCCTATAGATAGGCGCCCCTAGAGATAGGCGCCCCTAGAGATAGGCGCCCCTATTGATAGGCGCCCCTAGAGATAGGCGCCTCTAGAGATAGGCGCTCATAGAGATAGGCGCCCCTAGAGATACGCGCTCATAGAGATAGGCGCCCATAGAGAAAGGCGCCCCTAGAGATAGGCGCCCCTAGAGATAGGCGCCCCTAGAGATAGGCGCCCCTAGAGATAGGTGGCCCTAAAGATAGGCGCCCCTACAGATAGGCGCCCCTATCAATAGGCGCCCCTAGAGATAGGCGCCCCTAGTGATAGGCGTTCCTAGAGATAAGCGCCCCTAGAGATAGGTGCCCATAGAGATAGAAGCCCCTAAGATAGGCGCTTCTAGAGATAGGCGCCCCTAGAGATAGGCGCCCCTAGAGATAGGCGCTCATAGAGATAGGCGCCCATAGAGATAGGCACCCCTAGAGATAGGCGACCCTAGAGATAGGCGCCCATTGAGTTTGGCGCCCCTAGAGATAGGTGCCCATAGAGATAGGAGCCCCTAGAGATAGGCGCCCCTTGAGATAGGCGCTCCTAGAGATAAGCGCCCCTAGAGATAGGTGCCCATAGAGATAGGAGCCCCTAGAGATAGGCGCCCCTAGAGGTAGGCGCCCCTAGAGATAGGCGCCCCTAGAGATAGGTGCTCATAGAGATAGGCGCCCATAGAGATAGGCGCCCCTAGAGATAGGCGCCCCTAGAGATAGGCGCCCCTAGAGATAGGCGCCCATAGAGATAGGCGCCCCTAGAGATTTGCGCCCACAGAGATAGGCGCCCCTAGAGATAGGCGCCTTTAGAGATTGGCGCTCCTAGAGATAAGCGCCCCTATAGGTAGGTGCCCATAGAGATAGGAGCCCCTAGAGATAGGCGCCCCTAGAGATAGGCACCCCTAGAGATAGGCGCCCCTAGAGAAAGGCGCCCCTAGAGAAAGGCGCCCCTAGAGATAGGCGCCCCTTGAGAAAGGCGCCCTTAGACATAGGCAACCCTAAAGATAGGCACCCCTAGAGATAGGCGCCCATAGAAATATCGCCCCTAGAGATAGGCGCCCCTAGAGAAAGGTGCCCCTAGAGATAGGCGCCCCTAGAGATAGGCGCCCAAAGATAGAGGCGCTCCTAGAGATGGGCGCCCCTAGAGATAGGCGCCCCTAGAGAGAGGCGCCACTAGAGATAGGCGGCCCTAGAGATAGGCGCCCATAGAAAGAGGCGCCCCTAGAGATAGGCGCCCATAGAGATAGGCGCCCATAGAGATAGGCGCCCCTAGAGACAGGCGCCCCTAGAGATAGGCGCCCCTATAGATAGGCGCCCCTAGAGATAGGCGCCCCTAGAGATAGGCGCCCCTATAGATAGGCGCCCTTAGAGATAGGCGCCCCTAGAGATAGGCGCCCCTAGAGATAGGCGCCCCTAGAGATAGGCGCCCATAGAGATAAGCGCCCCTAGAGATAGCCGCCCCTAGAGATAGGCGCCCCTAAAGATACGCGCCCCTTTAGACAGGCGCCCATAGAGATAGGAGTCCCTATCTCTAGGGACGCCTATCTCTAGGGGCGCCTATCTGTATGGGCGCCTATCTCTATGGGCGCCTCGCGCCTATCTATAGAGGCGCCTATCTCTATGGGCGCCCATCTCTAGGGGCGCCTATCTCTGAGGGCGACTATCTCTAGGGGCGCCTATCTATATGGGCGCCTATCTCTAGGGGCGCCTTTCTCTAGGGGCGCCTATCTCTAGGGGGGCCTATCTCTAGGGGCGCCTATCTCTAGGGGCGCCTATCTCTATGGGCGCCTACCTCTATGGGCGCCTATCTCTGGAGGCGCCTATCTATAGGGGCGCCTATCTCTAGGGACGCCTATTTCTAAGGGCGCCTATCTGTATGGGCACCTATCTCTATGGGCGCCTCGCGCCTATCTATAGAGGCAGCTATCTCTATGGGCACCCATCTCTAGGGGCATCTTTGAGGGCGACTATCTCTAGGGGCGCCCATCTCTATGGGCGCCTATCCCTAGGGGCGCCTTTCTCTAGGGGCGCCTATCTCTAAGGGGGCCTATCTCTAAGGGCGCCTATCTCTAGGGGTGCCTATCTCTAGGGGCGCCTCTCTCTATGGGCGACTATCTCTAGGGGCGCCTATCTCTATGCGCGCCTACCTCTAGGGGCGCCTATCTCTAGGGGGCGCCTATCTCTGTGGGCGCTTATCTCTATGGGCGCCTATCTCTATGGGCGCCTATCTCTATGGGCGCCTATCTCTGCGGGCGCCTATCTCTATGGGCGCCTATCTCTATGGGCGCCTATCTCTAGGGGCGCCTACCTCTAGGGGCGCCTATCTTTAGCGGCACCTATCTCTAGGGATGCCTATCTCTAGGGGCGCCTATCTCTAAGGGCGCCTATCTCTAGGGGTGCCTATCTCTAGGGACGCCTATCTCTAGGGGCGCCTATCTCTATGGGCGCCTATCTCTATGGGTGCCTCTCTTTAGGGGCGCCTTTTTCTAGGGGCGCCTATCTCTAGGGGGGCCTATCTCTAGGGGCGCCTATCTCTAGCGGCGCCTATCTCTATGGACGCCTATCTCTAGGGGCGCCTATCTTTAGGGGCGTCTATCTCTAGGGGCACGTATCTCTAGGGGCGTCTATCCCCAGGGGCGCCTATCTCTAGGGGCGCCTATCTCTAGGGGTGCTTATCTCTAGGGGCGGCTATCTCTAGGGGCGCCTATCTCTATGGGCGCTTATCTCTAGGGGCTCCTATCTCTATGGGTGCCTATCTCTTTGGGCGCCTATCTCTATGGGCACCTATCTCTAGGGGCGCCTATCTCTAGGGGCGCCTATCTCTATGGGCGCCTATCTCTATGGGCGCCTATCTCTAGGGGCGCCTTTCTCTAGGGGCGCCTATCTCTAGGGGGGCCTATCTCTAGGGGCGCCTATCTCTAGGGGCGCCTATCTCTATGGGCTCTTATCTCTAAGGGCGCCTATCTCTATGGGCACATATCTCTATGGGCGCCTATCTGTAGGGGCGCCTATCTCTAGGGGCGCCTATCTCTAGGGGCGCCTATCTGTAGGGTCGCCTATCTATTGGGGCGCCTGTCTCTAGGGGCGCCTATTTCTGAGGCCACCTATCTCTAGGGGCGCCTATCTCTATGGGCGCCTATCTCTAGGGGCGCCTTTCTCTAGGGGCACCTATCTCTGAGTGCGCCTATCTCTTGGGGCGCCTATCTCTAGGGGCGCCTATCTCTATGGGCTCCCATCCCTAAGGGCCCCTATCTCTATGGGCGCCTATCTCTATGGGCGCCTATCTCTAGGGGCGCCTTTCTCTAGGGGCACCTATCTCTGAGGGCGCCTATCTCTTGGGGCGCCTATCTCTAGGGGCGCCTATCTCTATGGGCTCCCATCCCTAAGGGCCCCTATCTCTATGGGCGCCTATCTCTAGAGGCGCCTATCTCTATGGGCACCTATCCCTAAGGGCGCCAATATCTATGGGCGCCTATCTCTATGGGCGCCTATCTCTAGGGGCGCCTATCTCTAGGGGCGCCTATCTCTATGGGCGCCTACCTCTATGGGCGCCTATCTCTAGAGGCGCCTATCTATATGGGCGCCTATCTCTAGGGGCGCCTATCTCTAGGGGCGCCTCTCTCTATGGGCGCCTATCTCTATGGGCGCCTCGCGCCTTTCTATAGAGGCGCCTATCTCTATGGGCGCCCATCTCTAGGGGCGCCTGTCTCTGAGGGCGACTATCTCTATGGGCGCCCATCTCTACTGGCGCCTATCTCTAGGGGCACCTATCTCTACAGGCCCCTATCTCCAGGGGCGCCTATCTCTAGGGGCGCCTATCTCTAGGGGTGCCTATCTCTAGGGGCGGCTATCTGTAGGGGCACCTATCTCTATGGGCGCCTATCTCTAGGTGCGCCTATCTCTATGGGTGCCTATATCTAGGGGCGCCTATCCCTATGGGCGCCTATCTCTATGGGCGCCTATCTCTAGGGGCGCCTTTCTCTAGGGGCGCCTATCTCTAGGGGGGCCTATCTCTAGGGGCGCCTATCTCTAGGGGCGCCTATCCCTAGGGGCTCCTATCTCTAAGGGCGCCTATCTCTATGGGCGCCTATCTCTATGAGCGCCTATCTCTAGGGGTGCCTATCTCTAGGGACGCCTATCTCTAGGGGCGCCTATCTCTAGGGGCGCCTCTCTCTATGGGCGCCTATCTCTAGGGGCGCCTATCTCTATGCGCGCCTATCTCTAGGGGCGCCTATCTCTAGGGGGCGCCTATCTCTGTGGGCGCTTATCTCTATGGGTGCCTATCTCTAGGGGCGCCTATCTCTATGGGCGCCTATCTCTATGGGCGCCTATCTCTAGGGGCGCCTATCTCTGGGGGCGCCTATCTCTATGGGCGCCTAAATCTATGGGCGCCTATCTCTAGGGGCGCCTATCTCTAGGGGCGCCTATCTCTAGCGGCGGCCTATCTCTATGGACGCTTATCTCTAGGGGCGCCTATCTCTAGGGGCGCCAATCTCTAGGGGCGCCTATCTCTAGGGGCACGTATCTCTAGGGGCGTCTATCCCGAGGGGCGCCTATCTCTAAAGGCGCCTATCTCTAGGGGTGCCTATCTCTAGGGGCGGCTATCTCTAGGGGCACCTATCTCTAGGGGCGCCTATCTCTAGGGGCGCCTATCTCTAGGGGCGCCTATCTCTATGGGCGCCTATCTCTATGGGCGCCTATCTCTATGGGCGCCTATCTCTATGGGCGCCTATCTCTAGGGGCGCCTATCTCTATGGGCGCCTGTCTCTTAGGGCGCCTATCTCTAGTGGCGCCTATCTCTAGGGGCGCCTATCTCTATGGGCGCCTACCTCTAGGGGCGCCTAACTCTAGGGGCGCCTATCTCTTGGGGCGCATATCTCTATGGGCGCCTATCTCTAGGGGCGCCTATCTCTATGGGCGCCTATCCCTATGGGCGCCTATCTCTATGGGCGCCTATCTCTATGGGCGCCTATCTCTTTGGGCGCCTATCTCTATGGGCGCCTATCTCTAGGTGCGCCTATCTCTAGGGGCGCCTGTCTCTATGGGCACCTATCTCTATGGGCGCCTATCTCTATGGGCGCGTATCTTTAGCGGCGCCTATCTCTATAGGCGCCTATCTTTAGGGGCGCCAATCTCTAGGGGCGCCTATCTCTATGTGCGCCTATCTCTATGGGCGCCTCTCTTTAGGGGCGCCAATCTCTAGAGGCACCTATATCTTTGGGCGCCTATCTCTATGGGCGCCTATCTCTAGGGGCGCCTATCTCTATGGGCGCCTATCTCTATGGGCGCCTATCTCTAGAGGCGCCTATTTCTAATGCGCCTATCTCTAGGTCCGCCTATCTCTATGGGCGCCTATCTCTATGGGCACCTATCTCTATGGGCGCCTATCTCTATGGGCGCCTATCTCTATGGGCGCCTATCTCTATGGGCGCCTATCTCAATGGGCGCCTATCTATAGGGGCGCCTATCTCTAGCGGCGCCTATCTCTATGGGCGCCTTTCTCTATGGGCGCCTATCTCTAGGGGCGCCTATCTCTATGGGCGCCTATCTCTAGGGGCGCCTATCTCTATGGGCGCCTATACCAATGGGCACCTATCTCTAGGGGCGCCTATCTCTAGGGGTGCCTATCTCTATGCGCGCCTATCTCTATGGGCGCCTCTCTTTAGGGGCGCCAATATCTAGAGGCGCCTATCTCTTTGGGCGCCTATCTCTATGGGCGTCTATCTCTAGGGGCGCCTATCTCTAGGGGCGCCTATCTCTATGGGCGCCTATCTCTATGGGCGCCTATCTCTAGGGGCGCCTTTTTTTATGGGCGCCTATCTCTAGGGGCGCCTATCTCTAGGGGCGCCTATTTCTATGGGCGCCTATCTCTATGGGCGCCTATCTCTATGGGCGCCTATCTCTATGGGCGCCTATCTCTATGGGCGCCTATCTCTATGGGCGCCTATCTCTATGGGCGCCTATCTCTATGGGCGCCTATCTCTATGGGCGCCTATCTCAATGGGCGCCTATCTATAGGGGCGCCTATCTCTAGCGGCGCCTATCTCTATGGGCGCCTTTCTCTATGGGCGCCTATCTCTAGGGGCGCCTATCTCTATGGGCGCCTATCTCTAGGGGCGCCTATCTCTATGGGCGCCTATACCAATGGGCACCTATCTCTAGGGGTGCCTATCTCTAGGGGTGCCTATCTCTATGCGCGCCTATCTCTATGGGCGCCTCTCTTTAGGGGCGCCAATATCTAGAGGCGCCTATCTCTTTGGGCGCCTATCTCTATGGGCGTCTATCTCTAGGGGCGCCTAACTCTAGGGGCGCCTATCTCTATGGGCGCCTATCTCTATGGGCGCCTATCTCTAGGGGCGCATTTTTTTATGGGCGCCTATCTCTAGGGGCGCCTATCTCTAGGGGCGCCTATTTCTATGGGCGCCTATCTCTATGGGCGCCTATCTCTATGGGCGCCTATCTCTATGGGCGCCTATCTCTATGGGCGCCTATCTCTATGGGCGCCTATCTCTATGGGCGCCTATCTCTATGGGCGCCTATCTCTATGGGCGCCTATCTATTTGGGCGCCTATCTATATGGGCGCGTATCTCTAATGGCGCCTATCTTTAGCGGCGCCTATCTCTATGGGCGCCTTTCTCTATGGGCGCCTATCGCTAGGGGCGCCTATCTCTATGGGCGCCTATACCTATGGGCGCCTATCTCTTGGGGCGCCTATATCTATGGGCGCCTATCTCTAGGGGAGCCTATCTCTAGGGGCGCCTATCTCTATGTGCGCCTATCTCTATGGGCGCCTCTCTTTAGGGGCGCCAATCTCTAGAGGCGCCTATCTGCTTGGGCGCCTATCTCTATAGGCGCCTATCTCTATGGGCGCCTATCTCTAGGGGCGCCTATCTCTATGGGCGCCTATCTCTATGGGAGCCTATCTCTAGGGGCGCGTATTTCTATGGGCGCCTATCTCTAGGGGCGCCTATCTCTAGGGGCGCCTATCTCTATGGGCGCCTATCTCTATGGGCGCCTCTCTTTAGGGGTGCCAATCTCTAGAGGCGCCTATCACTATGGGCGCCCATCTCTAGGGGCGCCTACCTCTAGGGGCACCTATCTCTAGGGGCGCCTATCTCCAGGGGCGCCTATCTCTAGGGGCGGCTTTCTCTAGGGGGCGCCTATCTCTATGGGCACCTATCTCTATGGGCTCCTATCTCTATGGGCGCCTATCTCTATGGGCGCCTATCTCTATGGGCGCCTATCTCTATGGGCGCCTATCTCTATGGGCGTCTATCTCTATGGGTGCCTACTCTTTGGGCGCCTATCTCTATGGGCGCCTATCTCTAGGGTCGCCTATCTCTAGCGGCGCCTATCTCTATGGGCGCCTTTCTCTATGGGCGCCTATCTCTAGGGGCGCCTATCTCTATGGGCGCCTATCTCTAGGGGCGCCTATCTCTATGGGCGCCTATACCTATGGGCGCCAATCTCTAGGGGCGCCTAATTCTATGGGCGCCTATCTCTAGGGGCGCCTATCTCTAGGGGCGCCTATCTCTATGCGCGCCTATCTCTATGGGCGCCTATCTCTAGGGGTGCCTATCTCTAGGGGCGGCTTTCTCTAGGGGGCGCCTATCTCTATGGGTGCCTATCTCTATGGGTGCCTATCTCTATGGGCGCCTATCTCTAGGGGTGCCTATCTCTAGGGGCGCCTATCTCTAGGGGCGCCTATCTCTATGGGTGCCTATCTCTATGGGCGCCTATCTCTAGGGGCGCCTATCTCTAGGGGTGCCTATCTCTAGGGGCGCCTAATTCTATGGGCACCTATCTCTAGGGGCGCCTATCTCTAGGGGCGCCTATCTCTAGGGGTGCCTATCTCTAGGGGCGGCTTTCTCTAGGGGGCGCCTATCTCTATGGGCACCTATCTCTATGGGCTCCTATCTCTATGGGCGCCTATCTCTATGGGCGCCTATCTCTATGGGCGCCTATCTCTATGGGCGCCTATCTCTATGGGCGTCTATCTCTATGGGTGCCTACTCTTTGGGCGCCTATCTCTATGGGCGCCTATCTCTAGGGTCGCCTATCTCTAGCGGCGCCTATCTCTATGGGCGCCTTTCTCTATGGGCGCCTATCTCTAGGGGCGCCTATCTCTATGGGCGCCTATCTCTAGGGGCGCCTATCTCTATGGGCGCCTATACCTATGGGCGCCTATCTCTAGGGGCGCCTAATTCTTTGGGCGCCTATCTCTAGGGGCGCCTATCTCTAGGGGCGCCTATCTCTATGCGCGCCTATCTCTATGGGCGCCTCTCTTTAGGGGAGCCAATCTCTAGAGGCGCCTATCTCTATGGGCGCCCATCTCTAGGGGCGCCTACCTGTAGGGGCACCTATCTCTAGGGGCGCCTATCTCCAGGGGCGCCTATCTCTAGGCGCGCCTATCTCTAGGGGTACCTATCTCTAGGGGCGGCTATCTGTAGGGGCACCTATCTCTATGGGCGCCTATCTCTAGGGCCGCCTATCTCTATGGGTGCCTATATCTAGGGGCGCCTATCTCTATGGGCGCCTATCTCTATGGGCGCCTATCTCTAGGGGCGCCTATCTCTAGGGGCGCCTATCTCTACGAGCGCCTATCTCTAGGGGCGCCTTTCTCTATGGGCGCCTATCTCTAGGGGCGCCTATCTCCAGGGGCGCCTATCTCTAGGCGCGCCTATCTCTAGGGGTGCCTATCTCTAGGGGCGGCTATCTGTAGGGGCACCTATCTCTATGGGCGCCTATCTCTAGGGCCGCCTATCTCTATGGGTGCCTATATCTAGGGGCGCCTATTTCTATGGGCGCCTATCTCTATGGGCGCCTATCTCTAGGGGTGCCTATCTCTAGGGGCGCCTCTCTCTATGTGCGCCTATCTCTAGGGGCGCCTATCTTTATGGGCGCCTATCTCTAGGGGCGCCTATCTCTAGGGGCGCCTATCTCTATGGGCGCCTATATCTATGGGTGCCTATCTCTAAGGGCGCCTATCTCTAGGGGCGCCTATCTCTAGGGGGCGCCTATCTCTGTGGGCGCCTATCTCTATGGGTGCCTATCTCTAGGGGCGCCTATCTCTATGGGCGCCTATCTCTATGGGCGCCTATCTCTAGGGCGCCTATCTCTGGGGGCGCCTATCTCTATGGGCGCCTATCTCCATGGGTGCCTATCTCTAGGGGCGCCTATCTCTAGGGGTACCTATGTCTAGCGGCGCCTATTTCTATGGACGCCTATATCTAGGGGCGCCTATCTCTATGGGCGCCCATCTCTAGGGGAACCTATCTCTAGGGGCGCCTATCTCTTTGCGCGCCCACAGAGAAAAGCGCCCCTAGAGATAGGCGCCCCTCTGCCCGCTGCCTCTGCGACACCTCAAGGAGGCGCCTCCTGCCTCCTTGGCCGGCTTCCAGCCACTGCTACCACCACCGCCAGACTGCCCGCGCTGCCCCGGTCGGCCTCCTTGCTTCGCTGAGGTGACCAAGTTCGCCTGCGCCAAGAGCTCCTGCGGCCGCTCAGCCTCCTGCATCGCCTCGTCCTGCAGGATATACGAGGTCAGGTTGTCCTCGTTGAGCGTCGCCCTTGTGCTCGGCGCCATAGACAGCCGCATCAGCAGGTTGTAGCTGCTAGAGAGACGTTGCATGACATGGGTGATGTACGACGCCGTGGAGTACTGCGCGCCGGCCATCCTGATAGTGGCGAGAATTCGCCGGGCTTGGTTGCAGTAGTCAGTCGCTGTCTCCTCGTCACCCATACGCAGGTGCGTCAGCTGTCCCTCCAGCTGGGCGATGAATAGGTCGTCGGTGACCTGGTACGTCGACTCAATGAAGTGCCACGCCCGGTGGCCGGCGTCAATGTACTCCTGGCACCACTTCAAGGCGATCTGCACGCCTGGCGAGCAGCACCGCGAGATGACCGTGAAGGTCAACAGCTGCACGGCGCGAAACTCCGCACGCACGTCGGGGTGGTGCTCCGCCGGCGTCGCCACAGTCCCTCGGGCGAAGCCGATCAGCTCGGCCATCTCCAGCTGGGGCTCGATGGCTTCCTTCCAGGTGAGAATGTCGGGTTGACTGACCAGCGGAGGGGTGACCGAGATCCACCGTGTGTTAAACCCACCGTGTGTTAAACCCACCGTGTGTTCAACCCACCGTGTTTTCAACCCACCGTATGTTCAACCCACCGTGTGTTAAACCCACCGTGTGTTCAACCCACCGTGTGTTCAACCCACCGTGTGTTAAACCCACCGTGTGTTCAACCCACCGTGTGTTCAACCCACCGTGTGTTAAACCCACCGTGTGTTCAACCCACCGTGTGTTCAACCCACCGTGTGTTAAACCCACTGTGTGTTCAACACACCGTGTGTTCAACCCACCGTGTATTCAACCCACCATGTGTTCAACCCACCGTGTGTTCAACCCACCGTGTGTTCAACCCACCGTGTCTTCAACCCACCGTGTGTTCAACCCACCGTGTGTTCAACCCACAGTGTGTTAAACCTACCGTGTGTTCAACCAACCGTGTGTTCAACCCACCGTGTGTTCAACCCACCGTGTGTTAAACCTACCATGTGTTAAACCCACCGTGTGTTCAACCCACCGTGTGTTCAACCCAGCGTGTGTTAAACCCACCGTGTGTTAAACCCACCGTGTGTTAAACCCACCGTGTGTTAAACCCACCGTGTGTTCAACCCACCGTGTGTTCAACCCACCGTGTGTTAAACCCACCGTGTGTTAAACCCACCGTGTGTTCAACCCACCATGTGTTCAACACACCGTGTGTTCAACCCACCGTGTGTTCAACCTACCGTGTGTTCAACCCACCGTGTGTTCAACCCACCGTGTGTTCAACCCACCGTGTGTTCAACCCACCGTGTGTTAAACCTACCGTGTGTTCAACCCACCGTGTGTTCAACCCACCGTGTGTTGAACCTACTGTGTGTTCAACCCACCGTGTGTTCAACCCACCGTGTGTTCAACCCACAGTGTGTTAAACCCACTGTATGTTCAACCCACGGTGTGTTCAACACACCGTGTGTTCAACCCACCATGTGTTCAACTCACCATGTGTTCAACCCACCGTGTGTTCAACCCACCGTGTGTTATACCTACCGTGTGTTCAACCCGCCGCGTGTTCAACCCACCGTGTGTTCAACCCACAGTGTGTTAAACCTACCGTGTGTTCAACCAACCATGTGTTCAACCCACCGTGTGTTAAACCCACCGTGTGTTCACCCCACCGTGTGTTCAACCCACCGTGTGTTCAACCCACCGTGTGTTCAACCCACCGTGTGTTCAACCCACCGTGTGTTCAACCCACCGTGTGTTAAACCTACCGTGTGTTCAACCCGCTGCGTGTTCAACCCACCGTGTGTTCAACCCACAGTGTGTTAAACCTACCGTGTGTTCAACCAACCGTGTGTTCAACCCACCGTGTGTTAAACCCACCGTGTGTTGAACCCACCGTGTGTTGAACCCACCGTGTGTTGAACCCACCGTGTGTTCAACCCACCGTGTGTTCAACCCACCGTGTGTTCAACCCACCGTGTGTTAAACCCACCGTGTGTTAAACCCACCGTGTGTTAAACCACCATGTGTTCAACCCACCGTGTGTTCAACCCACCGTGTGTTCAACCCACCGTGTGTTAAACCCACAGTGTGTTCAACCCACCGTGTGTTCAACCCACCTTGTGTTAAACCCACCGTGTGTTAAACCCACTGTGTGTTAAACCCACAGTGTGTTCAACCCACCGTGTGTTCAACCCACCGTGTGTTCAACCCACCTTGTGTTAAACCCACCGTGTGTTCAACCCACCGTGTGTTCAACCCACCGTGTGTTCAACCCACCGTGTGTTCAACCCACCGTGTGTTCAACCCACCGTGTGTTCAACCCACCGTGTGTTCAACCCACCGTGTGTTCAACCAACCGTGTGTTCAACCCACCGTGTGTTCAACCCACCGTGTGTTCAACCCACCGTGTGTTCAACCCACCGTGTGTTCAACCCACCGTGTGTTCAACCCACCGTGTGTTCAACCCACCGTGTGTTCAACCCACCGTGTGTTCAACCCACCGTGTGTTCAACCCACCGTGTGTTCAACCCGCTGTGTGTTCAACCCACCGTGTGTTAAACCCACCGTGTGTTCAACCCACCGTGTGTTCAACCAACCGTGTGTTCAACCCACCGTGTGTTCAACCCACCGTGTGTTAAACCTACCGTGTGTTCAACCCACCGTGTGTTCAACCCACCGTGTGTTCAACCCACCGTGTGTTCAACCCACCGTGTGTTCAACCCATCGTGTGTTCAACACATCGTGTGTTCAACCCACCGTGTATTCAACCCACCGTGTATTCAACCCACAGTGTGTTCAACCCACCGTGTGTTAAACCTACCGTGTGTTCAACCCACCGTGTGTTCAACCCACCGTGTGTTCAACCCACCGTGTGTTCAACCCACCCTGTGTTCAACACACCGTGTGTTCAACCCACTGTGTGTTCAACCTACCGTGTGTTCAACCCACCG